ATGTGGGAAGGGTTTGTCCCACATGGAAAAAATGTTAAAACAAATTGAAATTTAAATAAGCTGAGTTTAGGATTTGGGCTTGGGCTTGGGCCTAATTGTAAAGTCCAGATTATTCCTTTTTGGAATTTTGGATTAGGCCTAATTTTGTGCTGGGCTTATTTAAATGGGTTTTACAAATGAGTGGGTTTTTATTTTTTTTTTGGTGGTTGGTTTTTTGAATTAAAAAAACTACTTTTTAGTTTTTCTAAAAGGTTACACCTTTTAAATTAAAAAACCATATTTTAGTTTTTCTAAAGGGTTACACATTTTAAATTAAAAAACCACTTTTTAGTTTTTTCAAAGGGTTACACCTTTTTCCAAACCATCATGACCCATGGTTGCACCCACTCGAAAAGGCACATTGCAACCTATTGGAATGGATGTGTTTATTGGTGAACAGACACCATGTGAACCATTGCAACCTATTGGAATAAATGTGTCTAGTGGTGAACAGACACCATGTGAACCATTGCAACCTATTGCAATGGTTATGTCCAATAATGAAGAGATACACCCAATCCGAAAAGGCATATCTGTTTCTATAAATACCCCATTTGGATCATTTGCAATTCATTCATTTTCATTTTCTTCTATCTCCCTCTCTAGACTTGAACCCAACCCAAGTCGATTCAAACCATAGGTTAAGTGGTTCGAGCCACTTAGACCCTAATCCAATTTCATCGAGCCATATTAAGATTGGTCCGAACCATTTGGTTCGGATTACACCCAATTCAGCATTTATATAGTATATGATGCATTTTTGAGTCATAGAGAGTATTACACGGAGAAGGTTCGCCGTATCCACGAGTTTGTAGTGCTGCTATTGGTGGATGTAGACCGTTGTATCCTGGGAGATAGACGCCACTGAGTCCGTTAGCACCATAGCTGGGCGAATCTGTCTTAAGGACATAGTATCCAATACTAGCCTTGGTCCAGGTTCATTCCTTGTATATTATTATTATTTTATTGCTTTATTTTGCATATTTAATTAAATATAGAGTTGTATATTTAATTAATGATTTCTTAGCATATTATTAATTATTTCATGATATATTAGTATAAGGATTGTTATATCTTAAAAGTCACATTAAACATATATTTTTCCAACAACTCATAATCTACTTCCAAGTCACTGCAAACAAAATTATTTCATCGAGTTAACAAGAAAAGAAATGAACAGAACACCATGACTTAGTTTTGGAAGAGAAAATTACAAAAACAAAATAAAAAGAGAATAAAACAAAGTATCCCTCCTAGTCCCCACAATTCCTTGGAATTATTATTTTTTTGATAAGTAAAAATGTATAAAAATCCTAATAAAACAAAGTATCCCTCCTCGTCTCCACAGTTCTTTGGTATTATTATTTTTTTGATAAGTAAGAGCATTTCCAATGCAATGCTATAAAGACTATCATTTCTAAAATATAGTAAGAGATGGTAAAAATGGGCTCTCCACTGCAATGTTAGATGGGCCGCCAAATTTTAACTTTGCCAAAATTGATACTAATTGTAGCACAAGATATGACTACTGCTATTTCAGAAAAAGAGAACGCCAGAGAGAAATAGAGGGGGGGCGATGGAAACTGATATGGGTTTTGATTTTTTGAACAATATGAAATGATATGTCAATATGGGTTCATATATATATATATATATATATATATACACCTCCCTATATATATATATATATTTTTAAAAGATCAAAAAAAAATTCACCAAATAGGATTTAGTTTGCATAACAAGAATTACAGACCTTGATTAGTTGATTTAGAAAAAAGCATTCAAAAGTCAGAAACAGTTCCTTGGAATTATATTTCGTCACTTTATTGATTAAAGTGCACATTCTTGTAGGAACAACATTCTTCCTGTCGGATTCAATTTTAATATATTTTTTGTCTAGATCAAGAATAATAGTTTTCGTAATCTGTAGCCAAGGATCAATTACAAAATGAAAATTTGGGTCCTGTTGTAGAAAGAAAAAAAAAGAAGAGAATACTTAGGAAAAAAAAAGAAAAAAAAGAAAAAAAAAAAAAGAGAATCAAGAAAAAAGAATAAATATATATTTTTTTATTGAATGTGTTCATTCATTTTGACTATTTTATCATATTAATTTCTACGCCACCTTCCTAGAGTTAGTTCTCCGAAGAACGTGAAACCAACGTATGATGACCACGTTCTGATTCCCTCTCTACTGTACATAGGTCACACCTTCCAGTGTCTTAGCGAAGATTAATAGAGTGGTCGTACCAGCCAAAACGAGGGCCGGCTAGAATCTCTTTGTTCAGTTATTCTCGCTGTTTAGATACTCTTGCTCTAGGGAAGGGTTTCTGGAATGGGCTAGACTATTCATGGTGAAGGTCTGACAAGGGCTTCACCTCTTAAGTTCACGAATGTTTATTAGCAGCAAGGGCTCGAAATCCTTCAACATATGCACCCAACCACCGAATGTTCAGGACAAGATTTCCCTTGATAAACATTGTCCGAATGCACCAACCACTGTTGCATCAATTTTATCATGATCCTTCCTTTTAATGGCAATGTTCAATCAATATTTCAAATATATGTCATGGATTCTATTCTATTTTAGATTCCACGTTGAATGACAGTCTTGAATATAGAATTTATTAACATTGTCTGATTCCATTTTCAGCTATAAATATTGTATGAGCTCAGCAGACGAGAGAGACTGAAAATAGAAGCCAGTGACTTGATGCCCCATAAACTTGGAAGCAAGCAAAAGCTCAACCCTCTCAACCTTCTACTTTGGAAGGTGAAGAAGTACCACTAGATTACCATCCTTGGTGGTAACATGCAATGACTAACTATAATAGAAAATATAATATATCAATTTGTGCCACTATTTGGCTATACTAATACCATTGAGGGTGGGCCTTGGCGCAATGGTAATATTGCTCTATTCTAATGTGGAGGTCACGGTTTTGAAACCGGAAGCAGCTTCTCCATCGGAAGGTAAGGCTGTGTACATCTAACCCTCCCCTGACCCCACAATTACGGGAGTCTTGTGCATTGAAATTGTCCTGACAAGAACAGTTACATCCCATTTCAGATTTAAAAAAAAAAAAACTGAGATTATCCTGCAGACAATCTTCTCATAATCTAGATTATCACACCATTGTCTCATCATCATCATCCTTACCTTTTTCACATAATTATCACACCATAATCTCTGCTTGGAAAACCACTAATAACTCCTTTCAACCAATCATACTTTGAATTGCATAGTTAGCGTTGAGCCAATTGTTGAAGCCTTTTTGGGTGCGAGTGATTCAAATAAAGTTGAACTGAAAGACAGTTCTCCAATATTCTCTATTATGATTGCACAAATTCAAGAATGGTTATTCCACAAATTCAAGGCCGATTGGCTGGTGAAGTCAAACCCAGATATACAACAATGGTTTGTTGTACCCAATTGAAAAGTAATGGGTAAGATGAATTTGGCGAATGAGATGTCCTTGTTTGTTTGTAGGGTTGAGATAAATAACAATACCATTTTTTTTCAGAAGTTTTGCAATTTGGATAAATTTTTGTCAAACCAAACCAAATGCTGGGCATATAATGGTATATAAATATATACACACATATATAAGTGAAATTTGTTAGATGCACATATGTTCTTGTGATTGGATTTTTATTTTATTTTATTATAATCTTGATTGTGAAATTTGTGGGCTTGCTATAACTGATTTTAACCTTCCTTCTATTCCCATATTCGTCATCATTATCTGAATATATATATTTTTATGTTGTGAGATTTTTTTTTTCCTGATGGATAATTATTTAAAAAAGAAAGGTACTAGGTGGAGAGAGAGGGAATAAAAAAAGGGGTATTTTTATCCATTTGAAGTAAGTTTTTTTTTTTTTTTTTTTTTTAATAGTTCGATGACATTATAAGGATGGTAGTGTCTTTTTACTTAGGGTCAATTTGGTGCAATGGAAAATGGAAGAAAGGAAAGGGAGGGTGATGGAGGGAGATTAAAAATTTGTGTTAGGCAAAAATTGTTGGAAGGAAATGAAAGAATTTGGAGGGTTAACACAAGGTCTGAACAGTGTTTTGCTTATCCTCCCACAAATGGGAGGAAAAGGAAGAAAAGTGAAAGGGAGGGTTGATATTTGGGAAGAGAAGGAAGAAAAGTGAAAGGGAGGGTTGATATATTATTTGTGATGCTTAATTTGCCCTCAAGATTACATATACATACAAGTTAGCAGTTGCAGAGAGAGTGAGAGACGGCGGGGTAACGGCTGAAGTTTGTGAACGGCGAACCGGAACTGGAACAACGGCAATGGAAACTGAAAAAATATGGGTTTTGATTTTCTAAACAATCTGAAATGATATACCGATACGGGTTTTAAACTTTTGATTCTTGCAGACAGGCAGATAAACTGAAATATATGGGGTTTGAACTTCTGATTCTTGTAGTGCAGAGGAGAGAGAGAGAGAGATAGAGAGTTCAGACTTGAGAATGAGATTAGAGGATGGAGTTGGATTTTGAAAAGTAGTAGAAAACCTCGCCGATTTTTAACGCTTGAACCATGATATGAAATAAGTCTAAAACAGAAATTAAATTTCTAAAATAATAAAACAAGGGGTAAGTGCGCACAATATGTGATTCGCCCAGAGCAAGATCTTAGTATGCATAATATCTTGTTAGACAATCATTATGTCAATTTTGTTTCTCATAGAAAGTGCGAGATTGGAGAGATTGAAATAAAAGAATATATATTTATTAAAATAATTTTTTTTCTTTCTTTTCTCAAATATGATTATTATTATTTATTTATTTTTTTTCTTCATTCATTAATCAAACATAATAAAAAGTTACCTTCTTTTATTTTTTTTATTATTATTTTTTTTTTAACTAATTTTATCTTTCCCTTTCAAACCCACTGTCAAAGAATGCCATAGTTGATGGATATTTTAGTCCATTTAACAAATTTTTTTCATAAAAATGACTGAATTGTACGAGGTAGAGCACCAACGGACAGGAGAAAGCCCTATCCAATCCCTAGATCAACACCAACCCGCAGATCCTCCAACACCTCCCACCGAAGACCACCTTCACAACACAGATCCCTCACTAACCTTCCAACATCCACTGTCGTCCACCGCCAGTAAGGACGAGTCCACCAAGGATAGCCACGAACCGAAGAGTGTTGAAGACTCAATTGAGCCCAAATTCTTTCACAGTTCTTAACCCAGATGACAGTACCCAAATCACAGTGATGATCAGGGACTGAAACGGCGGCGATTCGGCCACCGCAAAGGACGGCGTTGATGGGTTTTCTGATGAGCTCAGTTTGTTGAGCAACGGAAGACGCGTCTGATACGTTGGAGATTGCGCGTGGTTACGCGTTAGTTCTACGCGCAGAGTTATTCTTGACAGAGCGTGGCACGTCAGCAGCACTTGAATCAGAAGACGATACTTGAAACAAAACAGGTAAACTTTAGTTCAGGCCAGATGGCTTTGATACCATGTTGAATATCAGAGATAGAGATAGACAATTGAATTGTATAGGATTCTGTATATTGAAGTATATAATCATGTACAAAGGAGGAGATATATATAGGTTAGAGATTACCAAACGGCTATAATAGACAACTGCATACAACTAATTATGTTAACACATATAATGGCCCTGTTTTTGTTTTTCATTGAGTGTTTATTGTGTCAAATGATAGTAAAGTTTGATCAAATGGTATAATGGTTTATAGTACGAAAAGTGATATCATTTATATTCTAGTCTTCATTCTCTGATTCCTTTCCCTCCAAATAGTGTATATAGTTGTTGAAAAAATTAGCTTCTATTCATCCCAATACTTTAACTATGTACCTTCAACATCAAATCGGACCAGCTAATTAATAATAGACTATCAATGGTAATCAGGCCATATGATCCCACCTTTAGCTATAACAGCCCTCCAAATTCCCAGGCTGTTTTAATTGAAAATTGACCATGATTTTAAATCCAAACCAAGGGGCCCGAGCAACTCAACTCCCTCCTTCCCAGGATTTTATCAATGGTTCTTTCACACTGCCATCTTCTCTCTCTCTCTCTCTCTCAAGTTTACCTCGACTTTCACCTCATCCAATCCACTCTGGACCTCTACTATGTTACGGGCAATGCCTCATTATCACTATACAAAAGCCACATCAACATTTTGGCGACCCTGCTGGAGAGGTGTACTCGTATGCAACATGGAAGAGGCCTTTTGTGGTTTCCGACTATACACCGGTTATTTCATTCCAAACTCAACCTTATTCATTATGTTGCTATTCTGCCCTGTATTTTACTCTTATACTGATGTGTTCCAGCAATTTATCAACACTTGATTTTGCCCACTTGCTTTTCTTCATTTGCTCATACGAACTGTATCATTCCATGCGAACTGTATCATCTGGAACATTTTGATATATACATATGTATGTCTGTATATATATATATATACATGCGCAGGTATGTGAATAGCAGCGCATCTAAAAGTTTGTTACAGTGATTGAGTGTGCCTTCACATATCCTCGACCATTGAAAGCTCTGTTTTCCCCAAATCATAAAACTTCATTACATGTTGTTTGCATGTTCTACATACTTTGCAATCTGTTTTTTTTTTAAAATGTACAAATTCAAGTATATATATACACACACACACACACACACACACACACACACAACTGCATGTAAATTGTAATAAAGGCTGCATATCAGGTGAGGCAATTAACTTTGGGTAAATAGCATTACATGCACCTACTGGACAAAATATATCACATCTATTAATAGGCGTGCACGCACACACACACAACACAACACAACACGTAATATAGGTACTAAGTAGTAGTAATTGTTTACTGACGTTTCCTTAAGAAAACTTTGGGTAAATAGCATTACTGCACCTGCTGGACAAAATACATCACATCTATTAATACGCATACACACACACAACACACGTAATATAGGTACTAAGGGGCTGTTTGGCATGCGATGTGGTATTGTTTTTGGTGTTTTGATTTCAAAATTTAGGCCCAAATCACGTTTGGTAAGGCCTGATGTGGTTTGGAACAGTGTAAAACAATATCAAAATTTTGGGCCAAACCCATATCACCAATTTGGTGATATTGTTATGTGTTTGATATTGTAGCGGAGGAAATAAGCCCAAACCAATAACACACTTATACCAGGTTACTATAGCGGGGGACATCAGATATATAAGCTAAAATTTTCTGAAACCTCGCATTTGTGCGCTCTCGTTTCTCTCTCTTCTCGGTCTGGGCGATTCGACTAGAACCCTAGAGTTCAGTCGTTGTGCCTCCATAGATCTTAGGTTTTGAGCTGCAAAATCATTGTTCTGTCACTCGTTTTTCTTTGTTGTCTCACTTGGTGTGAGGCGATTCAAAGCCCATTCGACTGAAACCCTAGTTCGTTGTTTGTAAAGGGTCTCTGAAACGGGAGACCACGAAAGCCCACGAAGGGTTTCTTATGGGGTATTGAATCACAGCTTTGATTTAGTATCTCTCTCCAGGTTATTATATCTCTTTCTAAAATCTGGTACTGTGATTTGGGTTTTGTTTTGGGATTATTATCTGAAAATTTTGGATATCAGTTTCTTTACTTTTGGTTAAATTTTGATTGTTTTGTGTTGAATCGTGTTGTTGGATATGGGTTTCTTCATATTTGGGGTTTGTATCGGATTTCTTAGAAGAACTAATAGATTCCAAAACCCTTTTCTTTCATTGATTCTTCTATGCATGTGCAGCTGCAGACTCTCTTGTCTCTATAGGAAATAATGAAACATTAATATGAATACTTGATATGAATCATGAGGTTATGTGGTCTAAACTTCTTAGTGAGGCAACAAACGGGATGGACAAAACCAAATTGACAGGTCCAGTTGCAGGCAAGGCTGATTGGAGTATTTTACCGGCACATAATTTTTTCTGGATTTGTTCACAGCTGTAAAAAATTGTGTTTAATCATAAAACAAATACCAAGAAACAAGTAGATAAAAAATCAATACAATTCAACAATAATTCCACACCCCTCATGCCCTAACCTTGTCCAAAGAACCCGCTCTTGTTCACCTTCTCACAGTCGGCAACGACCTTGTTGACCTTCGAGTTCACGGCCAACTTTTTCCAAACCACTTCTATTTCTTCTTCGGCTAACCTTTCCCTAACCCGCTCTTGTTCTCCTTCTCATAGCTAGATAAAACCTTGTTCGCCTATCTCCTCCACCTTCATCTGAGTTCACAACAAGGCCAGTGAAGTATAAGCCTGTCGTTCGGCTCACCCCTCTTGCCCCAACCCTCTGTTCTTCACCTTCTCCTCCACCTTCACACGAACTGTCCACATCCGGCTAATAGTTGCAGTCCCTACTCACAAAAGGTACCCGATGCACCCCCCTTCTCTCACTACTTTATCCTATAACACATGATGTAATTCATTGTTGATTGGATTTCCAGATTTTTTTCTCTCTCTCTTACATTTCTTCTCATTTCATGAATTATCCTCTGGTTGGAAATTGAATTCAGTTAAGCAGAACTCGCATGTGGAGGTTCATTGTTCTTATCTTTGTCTTTCACAACACACACACACACACTCATGATATTTTTTTGTGGTATAATTTTTTGATGTGGACGTCTCCGAATTTATATCCAAGGTTTCCTCGACTTGCTCTCTCTCTCACAGACTCATACACAGCCATGCATAAAAAAATTTCCCGGAAGTTAGCCATGCATAATTTTAGTGTGTCTTTTTCTTGGAGTAAAATTCTAGCTTTTTGTTTAGTGTATGTTTTCTAAATTGTTAATTAGCTTTAATTATTGGTGTGTCTGCATTTTTATTTTTAATAGCCCCTCATATTCTGGGTAACTTGTACACTCAGAGACGTGGATATTTGTCTTTGTTTTATGTTCCATTTGGTGTGTGTATTCTATCTGTTATCATGTGATAAGTTAGTCTTGATATATTTTCTGTTAACTTTGAGTTTTTATTTGTAAGCAGCTTATTGGAGATTGTCGAGCTCTTCTATCAACCATGATTTACACAGCGATCGACACATTTTATCTGACAGACGAGCAAATTAAAATTTCACCTTCTAGGAAAGATGGCGTAGATGAAGCAACAGAAATTACACTTAGAATCTATGGCTGTGATCTCATCCAAGAAAGTGGCATCTTACTTAGACTGTATCCTTCATATTTCTTTTGGTGCTATTGTTTGTCCTCTGTACAATGGTCCAGTATCAATTGGCCTGAAACCAATGTTTATCCATCCTCACCTCATTAGCTTACCACCTAAAGTATTACTTATTTTTATTATAATTATAGTATAATTATTGATTTGTTCCCTACCTTTGGCTGGCGTATTTCTTTAATCATATTGCCTACAGACCTCAAGCAGTAATGGCCACCGGGCAGGTTCTGTTTCATCGCTTCTACGGCAAGAAGTCATTTGCTCGTTTTAACGTCAAGGTTCCATTCTTTTCCTTTATTCATGGAATTTTCTGTATTCAATATAAAATAGCACAATATTTGTATGCTTTCTAATTGGGGCCTGATCTTATTATTATTTTACTCACAGAGAGTTGCTGCTAGTTGTGTTTGGCTTGCATCAAAACTTGAGGAAAGCCCTAGAAAAGCAAGGCAGGTCCTCATTGTTTTCCATCGAATGGAATGCAGGAGGGAGAACTTACCCATTGAGCATTTGGACCCATTTTCTAAGGTTATAGTCGCATCTCATTTATATATTGAACTCAGCTGCTTTTAATTTTTCAGAAGCACAGAATATGAGGAAAGTCCTAGAAAAGACAGGCAGGATTCTCATTGTTTTCCATCGAATGGAATGTAGGAGGGAGAACTTACCTATTGAGCATTTGGACCCATTTTCTAAGGTTATAGTGTCATCTCATATATTTTTTTCTAGGAACCCATCTGTTTTTGTTCTTCAAGAGAATTTTAAGTGCTGAAATTTTTAAGTGGTAATTAAAATTGGAGATTTTTTCATTTATTTATTTATTTGATTCTGTAAGTGTTCAGTCCTAAGTGAATTCACTGTTAGTCAAAATTTTAGTAATATTCAAATTGTCTTGTCAAACACACTTAATTGGATAAGCACTTAATCCACTCAGAATTAAGTGTTGAATTAGATTATCAAACAACACGGTATGTATGTACAAAAGCCTATAAAAAGGGTCACCTCATAATTGTTGAGTTCTAAAAAATGTAAAATGATCCTTAGATATCAAACCTCTGTTATTATGATCCCTTTTAAATTGATCTCTGTACAATTTATAAAATTTATCTTCACTCTACTATTTCAGCCCCTCCAAGTGAAAATTCATGGGCCCTGCCTCCATTTTGGGTACTACTCTAAACAGTAGAAGTAGAATCTGAGAAGCCTGATGTGCTTATATTCAAAGCAAGTTGTTGTCCTTGGATTAACGGCTGTTCTTTTTACAGAAATATGCAGAGTTGAAGATGGATTTGAACAGAACAGAGAGGCATCTTTTGAAAGAGATGGGTTTCATATGCCATGTGGAACATCCTCATAAATTTATATCGAACTACCTTGCTACCCTTGAAACACCCCCCGAGTTGAGACAAGAAGCTTGGAATCTTGCAAATGATAGGTAATTCTGAATTTAGAATCTATACTACTTATTGTTCGTAGTTATGTATTGGTCCATTCATTTAACATGATCGTTTTGGGTGTGCTGATAAAAGTCAATTGATTGGATGGGAGGAATTAAACTTTGTAGCTTTTCTTAGTTGTCCTTTCTTCTCCAAATTTGTGTTGCTATTCAGTTGACATGTTCTTTTGTGGAGCTTCAATTTGTTTTTTTTTCTTTCCTTTTTTATCTTATGTGTGAATTGTTACATAAGTACTAAAATAAGAATAGCATAAAGCTTTCATTAAAGTTTTAACATTTTAGTAGCTGCATGCAATTTTAAAGATTTAACATGTTTTCTTTTTTATTATTATTATCACAGATCACACTCTATGATATTAACAAGAACTGGGATATAGTTCTCCTTTTATTTGTTCATCTCTCATGGTGTATGTACAATTTTTTCACCTTTGATTTCTTTTTAGTCACTGATAATTTTCAGCATCTCTACTGGGTTTATATCACTTGGTTAAGACTATCTGTGCCTATATGGCTTTGGTTGGGTCTGTTAAGGTGGTAGTTTGAGCTGGTGTTGAAATTGGAACATGAGTCTAAAACTCATTAACAGCTTGTTTGCTAACTGCTGACTAATGGTTTGTTAGAGAGAAATTACGCAGGCATGTGTTTGTGATGAGATTCCTGGATATTAAACAATCTGATGGTAGCTTGTGAAATAAGATTTGTGTGGTAATTGACATTGATGAACTCTCAAGCACCAAAAACTTGCATTAAACTCTTTTTGTTTTTCTTTCTGATAACTAAAGTAAATTTGCATCAAAGAGCATTATGAAAGGGGCACAGCCCAAGTACACACAACTGTACTTTCTTCGCAAGCATTCCACAAAACACGTGGAGGAATATGTATCCAAATGGTATAATCATATTCCACAATGCTTGTCTCCCGTCTTCTCAATCCAGGATCCACTCCAGGATTCCCTCTGCACAACTGAGGGCAGGAACCTATATAACCCAATCTTCTCTTTTTAGTAGTATGACATACATCCTTATCTGTTCTTCAACCCTGCATTTCCTTTTCTTGGCTTTGAATTCTTCAAATCTCTTTTAAAATTTACCTTTACTTCTTTTAGGCAAAGGAAGGCAGTAATATACGGTTGTTCCAAAGGTGTTATACAGTTATACACATCACAATCCACACGATTGGGAAAAAAGTTTTGGTGTCATTTTAGCTATTAAATTATTACTTTATGGATGTATTGTTAAGGATATTCCGACACTCAACAAAATTGAGCACAGAGAACCAAAAATAGATACATAATGGATACTTTTAATAGTTGCTGAAATAAACTGGTTGCTGGTGAACCCCTACACACATTTGGTCATAGAGAGTGAAATGTAAAAAAGAAGGCTATAATTTAGGGTTTCATTATCATATCATTTACAAGGTTGAAAACCTATGTGCAAAATTACTGAATTGTCTGTTATTTATGCATGATTTACCGTTACCCCTAACATGTTGAAATTAAAAAAACCTTCTTCGCAATTTTTTTTTTAATTTTTTGGTTGGAAGTCATAATGTTTCATTGCTTCTACTCTCAAGGTACTTTTTTCGCACAAAAAAGTTATATATATATATATATGTATATATTTTGTCCTCGTGTTGGTCCAAAGGCTACACAATGAGGTAGCCCTCCCCGTACTGTAAAACCCGCCAATCAGGAAAGTAGGGATTCAATTCTAGGTTTTGGCAAGGCCACTGAGAGAATTTATAATATATGCTAGCTGGAAAATTTGCATTATATTTCCTTTCCAAAAAAGCGTGATGGGACCACATGGACATTTATGTTAGGGTAAAGTACACCGACACCCCTTGAGGTTTGCCATAAGGATAACCATATACAAGTTGAGTCATTTTTGGACTCTTTATATGACTGTCCAAAAAAGACTCAACTTGTATATGACTGTCCTAATGGCAAACCTCAAGGGGGGGTGTTGGTGTACTTTACCCTTTATGTTCTTACTTAGGTTCCTATAACACATGCTTTGAATTATATGGGCATTTTTAAAGATTTTGTTCATTGATTATATATTTGTTTTGAGCAGTTTGCGTACGACTTTATGTGTGCGATTCAAGAGTGAGGTCGTTGCCTGTGGGGTTGTGTATGCTGCTGCACGTAGATTCCATGTACCCCTTCCTGAGAATCCTCCATGGTGGAAGGCATTTGATGCAGAGAAATCTGGGATCGATGAAGTTTGTAGAGTTCTCGCACACCTATACAGCCTTCCAAAGGCAGAATATATACCAGTATGTAAAGACGGGGGTTCATTTACAATATCTAATAGATCATGGGATTCACCGTCACCATCAGTTCCAAAGGTTCCTTCCCTCCCCTCTCTCTCTCTCTCTCTCTCTCTCTCTCTCTCACACACACACACACACACACACACACGCCCACATTTTGTTTCGTGTGGTATGGGGCCTATGCTATATTTGGTTCTGCATTTGTCACAATCACCAGTCACAGCATGTCATTAGCAGAATAAAGCTGCGCTAAATTCATCTTGTATGAGTAGGGGTAGGAGGGGGGAAAATTAAAAAAAGAAATTAAATCATTCTTAATTTTGTTGGTCAGATTATCCACTGTGAAGTGGTTTTTAGGGGAATTTTGCAGGGAATATTGTGTTTTAATGTTGTACTGTATGTAGTGGCTTTCTTGTCTTTCTTTGTTACCAGTGACTTGAACTCAACTGTCATTACTTTTCTGTAGGAACGTTCTGGTGGCCCTCCAGCAAATAATGATACCAATACTCCCAACGCAGCTTTCGCAGCAGTTAATTTGGAATCCGGCGGGTCCAAGTGTGCACTGATAAAAGTAGCTCTTGACAAATTGAAAGAATCAAAGAAGAGTGATGATGAGTCCAAAAGCATGCCTAATGAGGGAGAGTCAAGAGAGACTGTGCCGAAATCAAAGACCGAGCATAGAACACAGGCAAGTGGGGAAAGGGCAAAAGAGAGAGATTGGGATAGGGAAAGGGAAAGAGAAAAGGAGAGAGTAATAGCTCGGGACCGCGATAGGGGGAGGGACTCTGACAGGGAACGAGAGCAAAAGGAAACCGGAAGGGACAGAGATAAAGTCAAGGACAGGAGTCACCGTTCAAAGGACAAAGGAAGTGATTCAGGTTGGTTTATAAATGTATAATGGTAATTGCACAATCTCTTCAGTTTACAGTGTTTGTTCGCTTTCTTCTGCTTGCGTCTTATTTTTACTAATTCAAGAACTGAATTTGTTTATCCTATCTGTTCATGAACAAAGGGGGGTACCCGGAGAAATCAAAACATCATTCATCTCGTGGTACATGCCTAGTCTTCTTTCTGTACCTTCTTAGTAAGTATATTTTTTCCAGCCACTAAATTACATCTTATGCGATATTTCTTTTTCAGATCGTGACCACCACAGCTCCTCTTACTCTTCAAGGGAGAAGGACCGCCACAGATACCATTCTTATGCTTAAACTGGGTGTAACATTTTACCATGTCTAAGTTTAAGCTGCTCAAAATACTCAAGTTGCATGTGTAGTCTGCTTTTGGCAATCAATTCGAGTGTCTGAGTTTAAATTTGCAACTGTGGGCAAATGCTGATGGGGATGGAGTTAGGGCACTCATTGAGGTGAAGTTAATAACGACTTTTTCGTCAAATAGCTTTTTATATGCTCTTTGAATATGTTATGAATGTGGTTTTGATGGAACACGGCGTTTAAAAGTAGATGACCCATTAATCAGTAACTAAAATGAAATGTACTCGCTAAAACTGATTTGTATGATTCTGGTAAAAGGTTGGAAAGGGGATGGTTTCTTTTGTTGGAGTTAATTTTGGGGAATTTTGGGGTTCTATGGCATGACCCAATTTTTTTTTTAGAGAATTAGTTCTTGTGAACTATTATCGAAATAATTATTAAAGGGTAATGCTTAAAATTTAGGGTTTTTGAATAAAGAATTTGCTTCATTGAAACAATCAACATCCAATATTTTTCATATTCGATTCAAGCTTCGTAATGGTATGAATGTTAGATTTTGGGAAGATTTATGGTGTGGTGATCAGTTGTTGTCTTTTTCCTTTCCTCGTCTCTTTAGCATTGCCGAGAATAAACATGTTTATGTAATTGACTGTTATCACCTTGATAACAGTGGAGTTACGTGGGATGTGTGTTTTAGGCGTTCTTTTCAGGATTGGGAGATAGCAGAAGTTTGCGTCTTTTTGGACCTGTTGTATAGACAGAAGGATGTTGGCAGAGGTTGTGATGATATTTTGTGGACCCCCTCTCTTCATGGTAGATACGAAGTTCGATCCATGTTCTTGTGTTTGTCTAATTTTGTTGGGTATAATTTCCCATGGAAGCGTATTTGGCGCTCTAAAGCTCCTATTAGAGTTGCCTTCTTTGTTTGGACTGCTACTTGGGGAAAAATTCTAACATTGGATAATCTGCGTAAGAGAGGTAATACCATTGTTAACTGGTGCTGTCTCTGTAAAGCTGATGGTGAGTCTGTGGACCATCTTGTTATGCATTGTCCTGTTGCTTCTGATTGTTGGAATCTCATATTCAGTATTTTTGGCGTTCAGTGGGTAATGCCTAAGCACTCTTTCCAATTTATTAACGCTTGGAGAAGTTGCCCTGTTTCTGGTCATGCTCATGATTTTTGGAGGGTCACCTCACACTGTGTTTGGTGGTGTATTTGGAGAGAGAGAAATAATAGAAACTTTGAAGGGAAGGAATCGTCTTTTGCAAACCTTAAGTCTCTTATTCTTCACTCTCTTTTCTGTTATGTTAGAGGTAGCACTTGCTCCTCGATTGATGATTTTTTTGTTCCATTGGACTCTGTTGGTCCGTCAATTTCGTTTTTGCTCTTTCGTTTTCGATTTTGTGTATTAGGGACACGTTCTCCTTTTGAACATTTTTCTAATATATTTTTACTTATCAAAAAAAAAATAACGTATGTGGCGCCTTTGTTTTCTCTTTGTTAAAGGGTTGCTCTCCCTTAGAGCTTTTTTTATGTATATTATTTACTTATCAAAAAAAAAAAAAGTATAGAGTAGCAATTAAGCTTATGAATTACTAGGTGATTACTTAGGGAAGTGAAAAGGTACTATTAATGCTAAAAGGGGGTTCTAGAGTTTGTCGAGGGGGGCAAACAAAGCAAGAAGAAGTTCGCCGATGTCAATGAATCCAAAGGAAAGGCCACATGTGAAAGAAAATATGCCTGCCCTTACATTAAAAGTAATTATTAGATCTTGTAAAAGGACAACCCAATTTTTTTTATTGTAACAAGTCTTAATCAATATAATTTCGAGATGTTATCATTTCATAAGATAAGCTACTCTTCAGGATTTTCCTCAATTTCTTTTTAGAAATCTAGGTCCCAATGGTGATTGGAGTGGTTCTAGGCTATCTTACTATTATAAAAAGACTATTTTCTGAATTTGTTTGCTGCGACTTTGTCACTTTTGATGCAACTAAAAGATTTTAATAGTTCCTCCTTACTTTAGGATTTGAAATTTTTTCCATCAGTTGAAGAAAATATTGCAGGAAAAAGATATGCCACAGCTACAAATAACTAGCCACTTAATAACTAAACAATACAACTAAAAGAAAAGAGTTCCTCTGCATTTGAACCTTTGAGAATATTCTATCAAGATCTTGCTAGGGCTCCGTCCGCTCAAAAAAATGCGTTAAATACATCATTAGTTTGTCCAAATACTCCTTGTATATCCTGAAACCAAAGAAAAAAATACAAATAAAGATCTATAATCATGTAAACAATTGAAGGAACATATGAGATTGTTGCTAGGTATTTGACCAAATAAAATCATCCGGCTCCTACAGATCCGGTCATTAAAATACCCCTAAGAGGGAGAATACGCTAATAACATGCATATGTAAACTGAAGATGTAGCCAAATAAATCGCTAAAGCAAACTAAAAATAGGATGAACCATCTACATTGGGATGAAAGAAAGAAAGAGAGGGAGAGGGGGACAGAGAGAGAGAGATAGAGAATTTTACCTTTTAACTTCAGCTTCCGATGAATCTTATGTGGTTGTGAAAAAATGTCAAGGTAAGCAGAGTACTCAATGGGCTCCCCAAATTTAGAATTGATATAAACATTATATAATTCATGCAAATCTAAATACCGTCCAAAGGCTTCCTGAAAAAGAAATTTCAAATAAATTGAGGAACATGAAACATGAATTTCATAAAGACTACAAGTTGAATGATAAGGCCCACTACTGCCATGGTTCGGTTAAATGCGAAAGATAAAGTCTCAACCAAAAATAAAATTAAAATAAAAAAATTGTCCATTCAATACAGGGAAACATTGCACTTACAAAAGCAGGCACAGTAGCCAACTTTACTTTAAAGGTAAAGCAGAAGGAAAACATTACTGACTATAATGAACGGAATATAAGCTTAATCTGATGTGCAATATGAACTTTAAAGAGAGAGAGAGAGAGAGAGAGAGAGAGAGAGAACTTGTGTAACGTCAAAATTATGGAACTGTGATAAATTTATTCTCTACTAAGCATGCTTAATTTGCCACTGAGCCACAACTCAAATTGTATCTCATCCTCTTCTACATGAGAAGTCGGGCATTCAACTCCCTATAGAATCAAAAGGAGAAGTGAATGCAGTCTCAGTGTAATGGGCGAGGGGTGTAATGAGCATTACATAACTGTACTAGAAACTGCGATTGTGAATTTTTCTAGATGTTGCAAACCATCGGATCCTGTGATGGGTCAGCCAAGTACTAAAGACTAGTACAATGAGATCCAAATTCAATATTCTGGTGAATATTGGACTTGGAGTTAGCCAACTTCATTACAACTAACCTACCAACAAACAAAGAAGAAGAAGAAAGAAGGATGTCTATTATAAATATCCATCAATTATTAAACTAATTATGAAAGTAGTTCAATTTATTCACAAATTGTCCACTGAGGTTTAATGCCATATTACAAAGTGATAATCACGGTTCTTCAGGGGAACCAAAATGAAACAGTAGTGAGTTTATCAAAATAGAAGTCATGATGCTGTGCAACAAACTAGTTAACGTTGAGATATGGTAATTGCATCATTCATTACACTTTTGCAAAGCAAGCAGCATAGAGTAACAAAATTCATACCTAAACATTTTTAAACAGCATTATTGATTTCCAAATGTCATCATACAAAGTTTTTCCAAAAAAATGTTGCGCATTTTTATTATGACATAGTGCATATAGTCCAATATTGCATGCCATGTAAAATCAGAAGATAATGTAGTTTGCAGATGCACAGAGAAACATGACGCAGTGCACGCATGTACACACGCATACAGACCTCTCCACTGAACTCGATCCGTGGTTCCTCTATGAGTAGCTCCTCGTACTCCTCACTGGCATTGATAACACGTGCAGCAGGATGACGTCTATGGTACTCACGAATCTGGACATATTACAATTATTGCATTAAGAATTGGCATATAGAAGCAATTCGGATAAAGTTCGCACATGAGAAAGTAGGGATATAAAGATATCCAACACCTCTCTCACATCTTCAAGTTTTATAGTAAACCTAAGTAACTCGCTGAAGCAAACCCAATAGCTAATACTTCCATAAACTCAAGTTCAAATACCTTTCTATTTTATACCTAAACTAAACATCCAATTATCAAGAGACTGAAATCAATTTACCTCAAGTTCAAGTGACAGAAGTACAAAACCCTAGTTACTATATAAAACCAGTGACAAAAGTACAAAACCCTATTGATTACCTCTTTTAATCTGTCATAAAATGCACTAAACACGTTCGTTCCAGTGGCTGTCTGGCCTCCAAGAGCAGCAATCTCATCCTTCCTCGCATTATCTTTGTCATCGTAAACCTCAATCTGCGACAAACCCATTAATTTACGCAAGCGGAAGCACTCAAAGATATTAATTGACCATGGTCAGGAAAATGAACGAACTGCAAGGAAATCAAAAAAGGAAACAGGTTTCTCGGAAAACAAACACAATCGAGAAGAATGAGAAAACTTACGACTTCGTGGGTTGTGGAGGTAATTTGGTGGATCATCTTGCGAACACGGTGGCTCAGGAAGAGGCGATCCTTGCTCGTTGCTGTTTCGTTCAGGAGATCCTTCACGATGAGTCTCTCGAGACGCTCGACTTCCTCGTGACCGCCACAAGTCACCTCCAGTAGGGTCGACGACATCCTCTTTCTCCCCTATGGATTAAGTTTTGTGAAACCTAATAGGAGAAGACCCCCCCCCCCCCCCCCCCCCCCCCCCCCCCGCGACTCTTCCTTCTCTCTTTCTATCTTTCTCTCTCCTCTACTGAAGTTGCAGTGAAGGTTGAGGAGAGTGTGCAGATGGGCTGGGTACCAGCTTACAGGGTTTGGGGGAAGAGGGATAGGGAATTGCGAATTCGTCTCGTATTATTTACAGAAGAAACCGCCGTTTGGGAGTGTAGTGTGATGTAGTGTACTACTCTAGACTAGAACAGAACAAGTCATGTTTAGTGTTCCAAGTTTGCTCTACCGAATCATGGAACAAAAATATGGTAGAACATGTTTGGTAATGTATCTTGTTCTAAGAAATATGAGAACAAAACATGTTTGGTGTTCCAAAGTGTAACCAAAATTAATTTGATAAATAAAATAATTAAATATGTTGGATTAAAAATGTTTTGAATTAATATTTTCTTCAATACATTTTTTCTAATATAAAGTTACAGAAAATGATTGTATTACGCCGGACATATTTTTCCTCCATTTATATTAATTTATTATAATAACCATATAAATAAATAAATAAATCCAAATATGGAACTGAAATAAAGTTTCAAAAGATCATAGTTTCATAAATTTTAATATATTACATACATGAGTATAAATAATATTACAACATTCGCCAACAGTCACAATAAAAGTTCATGTAATAAAATTAAACTTTCAATACAACATCATTTCTCAACAGCGACAATAATAAACAACAACAACATGAGCAAAAACAACAAGAATATAGTTATAGTAAGACAACAACAACATCCATAGATAATGTAGTTTTGCCGCTTTTGTTGAGCTTGCATAATAGCAACTACATCCTCCAATTCTTCCTGCACACGACCGCCCACTTGAGAGCCATGGTGCATGTCATCCAACCATATAAATGCACGATCATGTGACTAAATTAGAAAAAAGAGTTGTACATTATCAGAATGCACCTGTAACACTAAGATGTATTTAAAATATTCTTATTAATGCTTAAAATAAAATTGTATACCTCCCAAGCTGGACATCTATAGAATGATTGTCCATAATTCTTAGATGTTCCAGCCGTATAAAGATTCATGCGACCCCTCCCACATGCACAAGGTGGCCCGTCACCCTGTATCTTATACATGACTACATATGCAAACTATAAGACTGATCCAAAGAAGTTAATAAAAAAGATAAAGTTAATCAAAATAGTTATTACAGTTATCCTGATCGTAAAAAAGAAAAACAATAAAGTAGTTGTTACAGTTATGCAAATACTAACAAATGGAACAAGTATAAAGTAATTATTACAGTTATCCAAACATGTAAATCATATGTCAAGGGTGATGACTTGCATTCCATATATTATCGGCAATATAATCGTGTACAATATCCATTGGTCGCGAGCGAGACTGCGACACATTAGGTTGAACATCAACTTCATCATCTCCAAAACTTTCATCCATCATTGCCTCCACAGTTGCATCATTAAATATTGGATCCACATGCGCCTCCTTTCTTATAAAGTTATGAAGTGTGCAGGAAGCTAAAACAATAGCAACTTGAGTTTCAAACTTATAAGGGGGCATGTGCTTCAAGATGGGGAATCTCATCTTAAGCATCCCAAAACAACGCTCAATTATATTTCGTAATGACGAGTGCCTGTGATTATAAATTTTCTCTCTACCTTGTGGTTGCCGATGAGCTTTATGGTACTCTTGGAAGTGGTACCGTTGGCCCCTGTAGGGAGCCAAAAAACCCGGTTGGTTGGCATACCCAGAGTCAACCAAATAATATTTCCCTGCCATTTTACAAACTATAAGGCACGTTTGGGAACCATGATATTTAAAATAAGTATTGCAAAATTATTAGATAAATGACATTTACCTTCTGGAGGCATTGGGAAATGCAAATCCTCATTATTAATTGTCTCGTTCAGTATCTTAGAATCATTAGCAGACCCCTCCCATCCAGCTACGACGTACGTGAACATCATATCAAAATCACAAACAGCCATTACATTTTGTGTGGTATCCCCCTTCCTACCACGAAATGGTATTTGCTGGTCCACAGGCACGTTCGCATGGACATGAGTTCCATCAATTGCCCAAACGCAACCCTTAAAAAAAGGGTGGTATTTTTTTTGATTTCCTTATATGGTTAGGAACTTTGGTAAAATCTAGGGCGACAATTATCTGTTTCCCTAAATCACAGATTTTTTGTAAAACCGTATGGAAGTATTTTGAAATTGTATACGTAGAATGTTGAAATCTTTCTGCGACCACACAATTCATTTCATTATGAGCTAAAGTAAGCAATAATATGCAAACTTGTTCATAAACACTTACACCTGTTGAGTCTTTCAACCCTAATAACTTAAGCTCCCCACACAACTTCAAAAAAACAGGGGTGGACATCCTGAAATTTTCAAAAAATCTATTTTCATGTCCATGCAATATCTCCATTATATATGCTTCCCCGGTTAAAAGTGAATCCCTACAAGGTCGTTTCTCGTAATGTTTATTATAATAATCCAACATGCATGCCATTATGATGACACACTCATTCTCCTCATCACCATCATCATACAAGTCAATTATTGTCCTAATATCCATCTATATAGTACAACATTTAACAAACATTATAAATTACAATAATCTCAAGCTTTGTTAAACAAAATAAAAAGTATTAGGGCAAGGCAACAACTAAAATCAGAACAAGCGAAATATTCATATTGTCATTACACTGAAACCAAATAACATATCAACGAGTGTACTTAATATTACAATCACCCAAAGTCATAGCAAAAGATAATAACAAATAAAAGCGACGCACAGAAAGTCATAATATGTAGTAATACAGTCATCCAAATTCATAATAAAACCAACACACCAAGTCATACTCCATTGATCCAACCAACCCTCTTCTCATCTGGAAGGTCATTAAAAAAGAAATCCCTCCAAAGTTCATCATTACGTAACATCTGGGTGACCTTAGCATATTGTTTCATATCAACGCCCTCCAACTTATTCAGAATGTAACAACATAATTTAAAATCACCCTTTGTCTTATCTGGAGAATTTACTTCAACCTGCCCAGCTTCCTGCCCTGTTTTCATATTAGATGATGAAGAAACGACTATGGCCCTTTCAATTCGCTCTGTTTTCTCTCTACTAGCCTCACTCATTTTCTCCATGACACGATCCATTGTGGAGGCAAAACTCTCTCTCCTTAGTTTCTTACCACGAGGGTCAGGAGAAGGACTGAACTCATGACCGCCTAACTCAGCAAAATCATCATTAAGGTCAAATGACGATTGTGTGCCTTCATGGTGTGCGGGGGTTTGGTTGAGAATGGGTGGACTGTAGGAAGTATGGACATGTGCACCTGTAGCGTGTGTGCCTCCAAATACAGTTGTGAGCTTATCAAAATGATTACATGGCTTCTTTCGATACTTACCATATTGGGAATTCACCTACAAATTATTAAATTACTATTAATATTAATTGAAGTATAATTTTTTGTAAAATCAACATAATTTATTTAAAAAACTAACCTTGATCAATCTAGTCCATCTTTCATTTTCAACTACAATCATGCCCGTCTCAGCATTATATCCCACGCCTGTTTCTCCTAACAAACTCATAAAGGCTCTGTAGTCTACCCTCAGGTGGTTGAATTTGCTCTTAAGTTGTTTTAGTTCATAGTTCTTGCCTGTACGCCTACTCATGCCTTTCCGTATATTCTTCCAACCATTTGGAGTAAAAGTTGTATTATTCCGATTACCGCCATAGACTTCTTCCTCCATACAGATGATGAAAGCTTCAAGATGGGAATCATCCCATACTAGTTTTCCATCATCGGTATTCTCTGTAAGGTCCTCTATTTCTGAGTCCACCACATTGTCAGCATTGATATCCATATAATTTTAATAAAAATTTGTTAAAAGGGTCATTAACAACTGTAATCTTAGGCAATAACATCGTCTTAACTACACAATTATCATCACGCCATTAAATGAAAAAACAATTTGAGTTGTGATACTAACATAGTCCAATAATTAGACACAACTGAAGAGACTCACGTAAGTTGGGAATGATGTCATCGGATATACCATTTTTCTTTCATATTTATCTCAACATTAAAGCAAACATATATGCCTTTTTGTCTAGGCCGAGACTCGAACCTCAAGTTATACAACTACTCCAAAAGCAAAAAAAAAATAATTGATCTTTCATTGTTAAAGTGTATAAGATAGAATCCAAAAACATTATACAAGGGGTTGGATCTACGAATCATGTTTTTCATAATCCTTATTTCAGTTCATTCCTTATTTTTAATTAAGAATGTCTTTTTCCCCAGGTCGTCTATAGTTTTCTCTTTATGACCTTGTGAAAAAGTTTTACAATCATTAATCATATGTGTTATGTCCACTAATTAAGAATGGTAATATTTTTTTTATTTTTGCGAGGTTGGTCCATGATAACATCTCATCTTTTATTGTCGGTCAGTAAATTCTTCTTACTAAAATAATGACACAATTGAACACACTCGTTAGTCATTTCACACTTGTTTTGTTAGTATCTATATAGATATATAGATATACAGAGAGAGAGAGAGGAATATCACTGGAAGATAACAATTTTTTTTATGAAGTATTCAAGTAAATTCAAAACAGGTATGAATCTGTGCCTATAGAATCATTAATTATATAATATGCATTCCAGATAAAAATATGTTATCAGTCAAAGCAACCCATGAGTTGTCATATAGAGATGGTCCAACCGGTTTGAACGCATGATATTTCTCAGTCCTATGTTTACATATTCAGTCAAAGAAAAATCTCATGGATTGAAAAATAAATAAATAAATAGAGAAATTACAGAAAACAGATAAGATTTTTAGAATCTGTTCCTTCAACAAAAAGGGGAGAGATGCATGCTAAGATTCAAAAAAAAAAAAAAAATGTGGATGAAGTGCCAGCCAGACTCAAAGCTTTCTACAGTTTCTATAGGGGAGAGATGCATGCTAAGATTTAACAAAAAGGAAGGAAAAAGAAAGTGGATGTGAACTGTGAAGTGCAGGCTTGTGCTAAGTTTTGGTTTGGTGAGGTAAAAATTGACACGCAAGTGTGATGCATGTTAGGTGTGGTAGTGTTTTCCTCTAAGCCCACAGTACACCATAAATATGCAAACAATTGCGAATTCCTCAACAAATCAGGCCTATGTTTACATATTCAGTCAAAGACAAATCTCATGGATTGAAAAATAAATAAATAAATAGAGAAATTACAGAAAACAGATAAGATTTTTAGAATCTGTTCCTTCAACAAAAAGGGGAGAGATGCATGCTAAGATTCAAAAAAAAAAAAAAAATGTGGATGAAGTGCCAGCCAGACTCAAGGCTCTCTACGGTTTCTATAGGGGAGAGATGCATGCTAAGATTTAACAAAAAGGAAGGGAAAAGAAAGTGGATGTGAACTGTGAAGTGTAGGCTTGTGCTAAGTTTTGGTTTGGTGAGGTAAAAATTGACACGCAAGTGTGATGCATGTTAGGTGTGGTAATGTTTTCCCCTAAGCCCACAGTACACCATAAATATGCAAACAATTGCGAATTCCTCAACAAATCAGGCCTATGTTTAGAATCTGTTCCTTCAACAGTCCAGTGGCAATTTTTTGAACATTCCACCACAAAATCGTCAACAAATCAGGCAACAAGCATACAAAAAATAATCGCTGAAAAATACTTGTTTTTATATAATTAACAACATCCATATATATATATATATATATATATATATATATATATATATATATATATGTATATATACAATGCACACATGATCTAATAGTGTCACCGGGTTGCAATCAAAACCCTTGCCTGCAGTCCACTGTGAATTTTTTGAACATTCCACCACAAAATCCCCATTACTGAACATTTTAATTGACACACAAATTACAAAATCAAAGCGAGTTAGAAGCTTGATACAAGAGGGTTGGCAGTTTGATGGTCCGGCGAAGCCACAGTACAGTATAAATAGTGATACAAGAGAGCATTCCTCGACAAATCAGGCAGCAAGGTCCTAACCATATAATTTTTTTTTTCAGGCAAACAAAAAATTAACTCACCTGGTGTCGACGATGAAGGCAAATAGACCAAGAATCGCCTGTGAATCTGAGAGTGCAGAGAGCAGCGGCGAAGCTTGGTTCGCCGGAAAACGCAGAGGTCACAAAGGGGAAGTTTATCTTCAGATCTGCATACACAGTGGAACACCGACAAGCCCGATCTTGATTATACATGTGACTAAATTTAGACAGAACTTGCAGACTCGTTTCAATGAAGAAGATGCATGTTTGGAACTCACCGGTGAGAAGAAGACGTTGTCGAGAAGCTTCGTATTTACATCAATGGTGTCGATTTCAACCCAAGATCTCGGAAAGCTTCAGTACCTCCCAAGGGTACACTGTGAATCGCCTCAGTCGTAGAGAGAACCCTAGAACAAAATGGACCGAACAAGTATATTGTGTTCTCAGTGTTCCAACTGGTTGGGCTATTGTTCTCCATTCTACAGTGAAAAGTGGGCCTTGCACAATTTGGGAACACTTTGGAACATGATTTTTTTGTTCCGGAAGTTGGCCCAAAAACTGAATTTGTTCTACAACTGTTGGACACAATACAGCACATACCAAACAACCAAGTTTGCTCAATAGTGCCCATTTGTACTATAGGGAAGGGCATAGAACAAGATAGAACATGCCCCAAACAGGGCCTTAATTTCAATTTGAAAGGAAACAAATTAATTTTTGGACAAGTTACACTAACTCTACGGGTCTGTTTGGTTAGACAGAAAATTTTATGGAAAGTGAAAGTAAAAAAAAAAGTGAAGTGAAAGAAAGGAAAATCAAGTTTCTGTCATGCATTTGGTTAGTAGGAAATATTTTGAAGAAAGTTGTAAGATAGCATGAAAAGGAAAAGAAAATGATTTTACCTATCCAAGATACCCTTATAATTTTAAATAGTAAAAAAATAAATAAATTTATGTTTGATAAATATTATTTATACTTAATTATTTATTTTAGTAAGGAAATAGTGAAATATGGAATAGAATAGTATGTGATATCATAATATAATTTTTTTTGTTTTCTACTCTCTCTATATATATTCACTTGTTCCTGTGTAAACTTGCATTCTTGATCTTTAAGATAAGAAAAATAAGTTTTTGGTAAAGCTGAATACTAATATATAATTACAACTTTCTCATCGAGAAAATAAAGTTATAGACAAATTTTGTAAACTATTTACAAATCATCAATTATTTATTTCAAGATAATGTTTGATGTTAGGTATGTAACAAATTGTGTAAAGATAATGTAGACTAGTTTTCACCTAACACTCTTATTATCAACAAATAGTTATGTATATATATAATAACTCTTAATCATTATCAATTATAGAAAAAAAAATATTTTACTTATTTAAAACATTTTTTTAAAAAATGAAAAAAAATAATTCAGTAATAAAAGGAAAAAATTAATTAATTTTCGATGCACATATAAAAAAAATACAAACAATTTAATTAGTAATACATGATTTTATAAAAACAATTTACAGAAGAAATAAACTCTCCTTTTCAAAGAAGTCTATGTAATTAAGTAAAAAAGAAAATAGATAACTAACATGGGTATAATAGGAAAGTAATATACAAAGTATACAACTTTTGCGAGAAAGTGAATTTCTCTGCGTTTTTTGCACGAAAAATTTTGAGGAAAATTTTCAGATGCGGAAATCCTACTTTCCCCAAAACTTTCACTTTCCCTCTAACCAAACTTCCAACAAATTTAAATATTTTCCTTTTCTTTTCTTTTCTAGCTATTTGACGCTAATCAAACGGACCCTTAGGCTCCGTTTGGTTAGATGGAAATAAGGTAGAAAAGAAAAGAAATAGAAAGTGAAAGAAAAGTGAAATGAATGAAAAGAAAAGTGATTTTCTAGCATGCATTTGGTTAGCATGAAATTTATCCAAGAAAATTGTAGAAAAATATTAGTTTGTTAGTTTGGATAGTATAAAAGTGAAAAGAAAATGATTATACATAACAAAATTACCCTTTGAGAGAAAAATCAAATATTTCACCATATTATATAAAACTATATATATATATATATATATATATATATATATATATATCCATACGGAATTGACTTGCATTAATATACCAAATCAAAAGTTCAATATGGTCTTTCAATAAAACATTCACGCAATAAAGTTTTTTCATCAAAAAAACTTTATTGCGTGAATGTTTTATTGAGATAATTATGATGATAGAATGTTTGACCCAGCCAACCAGCTCGAGATAGTTTGACTTAAGTAGCAATGAATAGGTTATTTAGATCTTCCTCCTCTATGAGCTCCAGATCCTGAGCTAGTACTAGTCTTCCTCCGGTTCCAAATATAGTTAATGAAGAAGATTACAAAATTGAAGATGTTACTTTAGATTTTAGTGATTGGAATATTCCCCGGATTCCAACCAGAGAGTTCTACAAAACCAGTTTCTTTAAGTCAACATTCCTTAGTGAATACACAGTCAAAAACGTCGAACAAATTTACTCATTGTTTAAAGAACATGAGAAATGTCAGTTATTCACAGCTCAAGCAATCAAAAGTCACAAAGATCGTGGATACAACTTTCTACACATAGGTCTAGTTCAAGTTGCAGTCAACCTATTCACTAATACTGGCCTTAATGCTTCAGTCCTTTTAGCCCTTTGTGATGCTAGATTCCTATATTATAATGATAGTCTTCTAGGAATAATTGAGACAAGTCTATGTAATGGTCCAGTCCATTTCAATTGTTACCCTGATCTTACTCTCAGTCTCACTGATCCACACATCTAAAAAACTTTAACTCTTAATGTCAAAACTTCT